GTAATTGAGAAACCTATCGGTCACTCTTGTGGCGTTTGCAGGGAGAAGTAAGCCTCCGTGTGGTGGGTAGCGTAACCCAACCGCTGGGTTAAGCCTTTAACAGGGGGGGGGGGGGAGGATTTGAGAGGCTCTTGCGCCACAGTCTATTCTATTTTATAGCGACGAATATATCCATGTAAACAGACTATTTGCAGAGCGAAATAAAACATTGATTGATTGCTTAAAGGTAAACTCTGTAATACGGACACCCCACTGATGCGTGCAACTGAATCCTCGGCCCCGGGTCCCCGGCATATTGTAGAACATGGACTGGATTGGACTGGAATGTTCAATTTAGTCCATATGCTTTACAACATGTCCTGGCCACCGACGGACGTTCGCTATAATGGACTTAAGGACACCGTTCCGAAATGAAATTTTTCAGAAATTTTATTTTTCTAGTGCTCGTTAATACAAAAGCCATGTGGCATATCATCAAGACAAACAAAATCTGTTTTTCCTATTTGGTTAGATTTGCTCTTCCTCTTTTCCAGTATCGCAGCCTCCGCGTCAATCTAAACATTTTCTGCGTTTGGATGCTTCAGTCGATGGCAATATTTCAACGAAATTTCATCATTTACCTCGCTATTTACGTACGCGGTGCGAACTCAACCTTCCCTCAGTGTACACAAACTAACGTGCGTATCTGGCAGTTTTTGTTGGGGAGGAGCATCGAGCATTGGACCAAAGTGCAAGCGAGCGCTAAAGCCGCGAAAAGAATAGAGCGGAAACAACACGCGCGCTTTGCCGGTTTCAATTCCCCCGCTCGTTTGCGCCTGCGTCAGACAAAACCGCCAGCTGGGCCTTAACAGCTGGGCCGCAGGCTAGACGCCGACTCAAGATACAGACGGAGATAGGCTCAGTCTCCAGTCTTTGGTGTTTCGATGCGCCCGCGGTACTCTCCACCGAGTACCGCAGCCGCATCCAAACACCCAAGGCTGAAGAGTGAGCCTACGCTGTCCCAGACGGCATATGAGAAAAAAAAT